CAGAGGAGCCAATCAGCTAGATGTTGCTGGGGCCGCTGTGAGCCAATCATCAGCCGGCAGCGGAAGTTTGCTGGGGGCCCCTTTGGCTGTGGCTCTCAACACACAAACAAGAGAGTGAAACGGGGCTGTGGTGAGGGAGAAGCTCCTGTAAATGGTGCACAGGACCCGGGGTGGGTACCCAGTCTATAGAGACCCCTGAAACCCACAACCAATCCGCCAACCAGACCCAAAACAGGCAGCGGGTTTAAACAGACATCCCCCAAAGATGCCAGGGATCGGCCACAGCCCTGGGCCACCGCTCACCACCCACCAGCTGGGGGACCATCTGGCCCCTTGCCACAAACCCCCAGGAGCAGCAGCAGGAGGAGACAGCAGGTCTGGGCAGCACTGCCCACAGGAGAACAGGGCCCAGGACCACGGTGAGCGGGCACCTGGGAACGTGCAGCATGACCCACTGACCAGGCCTCCAGCCCGGGAAGGCAGTGTGCAGTGGGGCAGGGCCCCGGCGTTGGCAGGACCCAGAGCTCTCCAGGTCTGTGGCACAGGGTGACAAGGACAAAATGGTTAAGCTGGTGTGTTGTTACAGTACTTTATCAGGCGGCATCTCCTGGTGCGTTTTCCCGTGGCGCTTGAAGCTCCAGAGATGGCGGAAGGCACTGCCGCACACGTCGCACGTGTAGGGCTTGGCCTGCGTGTGGAGGCGCCGGTGCACGTAGAGGTTGCCCAGGTGGCTGAACCGCTTCTTGCAATCTGAACACTCATAGGGCCTCTCGCCGGTATGGATGCGCTTGTGCACGCGGAGGTCTGAGGCCTGCATGAACCCCTTCCTGCACTCGCTGCACTTGAAGGGCCTCTCCCCGGTGTGAGACCACTGATGGACGACCAGCTGAGATCCATAGGCCAAACCCTTCTGGCACACCCCGCACCGGTGCCGAGCTGCGCCCGCGGCTTCCGCCCCCACAGGGCCCGCAGGTGGCGCGGTGCTGGATGGAACCACTGAATTTACCCCAGCTGGACCCAAGAACCGGCCGGGATCTGGGGAAGCTTCGTGGGAACGTCTCTGCCGTTTAGAATGGCGTTCCATGGGAGCATCTTCTCCCTGCCCAGCCAGGGGCCCAGGGGTGCAAGCGCGCGCATTTTTACTACAAACTTCTTGGGGCTTCTTCACAGAATCTGCTGGAAGAAGGAACACACACAGCACTTAAGAGAGCATTCTCCAGGATGCCCGAGTCCTGGGAACTGAATGCTGATGGTGCGCGAGTGCCCAGCTCCCCGAGATGGCACCTGGGGCTCCCAGTCTACTCACCAGGACCCTGCGGAAGCTGAGGCTCGGGAGACCCCTGGACAGGGAGGTCTCCACCTTCCTTCACATCCTCTCCCTGGTTCTGCAGGTCTATTTGGGCAGGAACCGGCTCTGGCAGTACTTCCTCACCCTGTCAAGTGGCACACAGAATTGCCAACAGGTCACATCGGGTGGAGCAGGGAAATCTGTCTCTTCCTGCTCTGATCCAACCTTTCCAAATTTGGTGGAGCTGTCTGAACCACCTCATGGCCATAATAAGCGACCTCGGCGAGTTCCTAGGTCCTCTGCTGATGGGACCTGCCACCCTTCCCACCAGGCCCACTCCAGGGGGCTTTCTCCTCCTCAGGGCTCCTCTCTGTCCCTGACCCCTGTCTTCCTCCACGTGGCACTACTGCTGGGTGATTCTTCCTGGTGTGGGGCTCTGGTACAGTGTGGAGCACCATCCCTAGCTCTACCTGCTGGACACCACTAACAGTCTCCCCATGTACACACAGAAGGACAATCCAGGGAAGTTCCCAGACATGGCCGGCTGCCCCGAGGAAGGCAAAACTACCCCGGCTGAGAACCACGCCTTCAATAAGGAATTAATAAGTTTCAGAAACTGGGTCCTTGTGGCCAGTTGTACCCTGAAAAGGTCTTTTGGATCCAGCCCACTTTCCACGGGAGGCAGACCCAGCCTGTAGGGGACATGACCAGACAGACACCCAGTAAGGACCCAAAATGGCTCCCCCTCCTCAGCCTGGCTCTCTCCAGAAGTGCCCCGCCCCTGGGCCAGGGCTTCCATCGCCACCTGGTCCAGCGGCCCTTGCTGTGGTCTGGGGGTCCTCCCAGTACTGTGGGGTGCTTCCTGGTAGAAGCTAGAAGTTGGAGCATCATAACAAGCATCTCCAGATCCATAGGCAAAGTCCCCACCCTGCCCTGGGCAGGATGACTTTATCACCCTCCTGAGGTCTCTTACCTATTTTTTGTCTCTGTCTTAAAAAGTAACATAAAATGCTAATTTAAAATGTACAAGTTGGTCTGACCTGATCCATCTCAACCTGGCACAGTCCAGTCCCTGTCTACCTGGCTACAGGTGGAGACGAGGTGCCCTGAGACTGGAGCCTTGTGGAGGCCCTGTTTTGCTGAGAGCCATTGCCAAGTAGGAAGGACGAATCAAAATTTTCTTGTCAGCCTATCTCATGTTGCTTAGAGGAAGGACTCTCCATTATGGAAATGGGCTTGTCTTAGGACATTTGCAGTGACGTTGCATGTATGCTTGGGAAAGGTGACCTTGCTGAAGGACCAGGGTGGATCCGGTGTAGGGTGGATCAGGTTTTAGGGAGTATCCCGCTCCTTGGGTTTAGGGCGGTTCCAGGTTTAAGGTGTACCCTGCCGGGAATAGGGCGTATCCTGCTGATTAGAGCCTGGTGGAGTATGTGGATTTTGACCCAGAACATATTTTTCCCCAGAATGTGTTTGTAGAGGGCCAGAATAAAGAATTACTGTTTGAATCTACAAAGCTGTGAGTGGCTCGTGATTTTGTGCCCAGCCAGACTGCGGCACTGTTTGGCTAGCTGGGGAGCTCCTGTAACCCCGGCTGACATCCTGTACCTCATGGGAGCAATTGCTGCAATTTTATCAAAGCTTACCATTCCCATTCTCAGGTCGCCCTGAGAATGTCCCACGGACCCCACCACACGGCAGAAGTGCCAGAGTTGTCAAGCAAACTCGGCAGGAGGCCATGGCTTGGAACTGGCCTTGTGCTGAGGATGGTTGAGCTAAGTTCAGGTCAATGTCAGGTGCTCTAACCAATTAGCCAAGTGCACCATGACCACCAGAGTACCTCCACACCAGGCTCCCCCTTCCCATCCATAACGAGGATGGGGTACCCACCATAGGTCCCCAAGGATACCCACAGACAACTGCACTTCCTACTCTGCTCAGTTTTGTTTATAATTGCTCCTATAAACACTGGTAAGTTTAATTGGTCTGTAAGTCTTCCTTTGACTCCCTGTTAAACTGCAGTGTGTCCACTTATAAAAACTCCCTGAGAATGAACCTTTTACCCCAAGGTGGGGCAGAGTGTGCACACCCATTAGACCCTCTGACCCTTGCTCCTACACCCCCTTCCTCCCTCTCCAAAGCATCCAGGTGCACAGCCACCATGATGGAAGGTGCCCTGTGTAAACCCCACCCACTCCAGCGCTTCTCAGCTGGAGGCCACCTGCAAGACCCTGAGACCTCATCACAATGAGAGAGCTAGTGGCCTCTGGTGGGGAAGGCCAGGGAAGCTGCTAGTGAGTCCCAGATGCAGGACTCACAATGGACTGCTGCTCACCCAACACCCCTGCTGGCCAGTGTGATGGACCCTCATGGAGTCCAAAGGCTGTCACTGCCCTGCCAGCCACAGATCCAAGGCCAGCAGACACGGGCCATCTGAGACAGTGAGAAGCTGTCCCCTTGACTCCAACATCTCATGGACAACACCTTAAGTACGGCCTAGCCCCCCCCCCCCGCCCTGCCTCATGGTTGTAGACCCGCACTCCTCAACCTGGAGCAGCTGACCTTTGGGGCTGGGCCACCCTGCTCTAGGGACCGTCCCCTGTCTTCAGCCTCACTTGCCTCACCCATCAGATGCAGGTAGTAGCTCTGCCCACTCCATCGTGTCAACCAAAAAAGTCCCCAGACCTTGCCCAGCATCCTCATGGGGTGCTGCCTCCTCAGGTAAGAGCCAATGAGGGAGTCAGCCTGGCGGCCGACCGTTGCTGCCCTCTTGCCCACGCCCTGCGCAGGCCGCACTCACCCATTTCTGGGGCTTCCTGTGGCTCCTGAGCAGGTCCTCCAGGTCCCGGCACCTCGTCACACCACTCTCCCTGGCCAGGACCTGCAGGTCCTCGGGCATGGAGATCATGAATTGCTCAAGAATCAGCTGGTCCATGATCTCCTCCTTCGTGTGCAGGTCGGGCCTCAGCCACAGATGGCAGAGCTCTGAGATCCTCTTCAGATCCTGGATGGGGTCCGCGTCCCGCGAGGCAACAGATGTTCTAGAAACCATATGCCAGCTCTCTGGGCTGAAGCTGGGCCTTGGGCTTCCTGGGGACGGTGAAGACGAGGGCTGGTCCTGCCCAGGGCTGTCCTGGGGCCTTCTTTCCCCTGGTTTTAATGTGGGGTCTGCTGCCATCTGTGGACGGCTCGCCATCAGGATCTGATGAGCTGGTCAGAACGACAGGAGGTGGCCTGTTCCCAGCGAGGACTCTGCAGGACAGTGGGCTGGTCAGTCTAAAGCGCTCCATCCTCCTTCCAAATCCCTCACACCCAGCGCCAGATGCTCCCCCACAGGTGGTGTGCCTAACGGGGAACTGGTCCATTCTATCATTCACCCAACACCCACACACCACTACATGCTTTGGCTTAGGTGTAGGAGTGGCCATTGGGTTGACCGCTGCATGTCCAGAAGTGGGGCCGGTTTTCCTGTCTATCAATAGGGACATCATTGTTATTTATTTTTATTTTGAAGTGCAGAGGATGGAACCAGCGCCTTGTGCATGCTGGGCCAGTGCTCCAGCACCCAGCTATGTCCTCAGTTCCTTCTTGAAACTGTCCTTTGAGACGGAGCCTTGCTAAACTACACAGGCCGTCCTCAACCTGCCTCAGCCTCCAAAGTAGCTGGGGTCACCAGTGCCCCCAGATGCTTCTGTTCCATTGCAGAGTGAATAGAATAATTATATGAAGCTCCCAGAATCTACTAGATGCAGAGCAAAAGTCATGTTTAGTCAGAATTGTGCAGAAAAAGAAAAGTGTTTACACCCTGAGAATCCCATGTGACGCAGCAATTTTGGAAACATTGACTCAGCTCGGCCCCCACCACATTTCCTTGCTGGTCTCAGAATATTTCTTTGCTCCAGGAAAAGGAGGATATAAAAAGATTCTCAAGCCAGGTGGAGTGGCACACACCTATAATCCCATAAACTTAAGAGGTTAAGGCAGGAGGATTGCAAGTTCAAAACCAGGCTCAGCAACTTAGTGAGGCCCTAAACAACTCAGCGAGACTCTGTCTCTAAATAAAATACAAAAGAGGGCTGGGGATGTGGCTCGGTGGTTGAGTGCCCCTGAGTTCCCTCCTTGGTACCAATAAATAAGCAGATAAAATTGAAAGGACTAGCGTTGTAGCTCAGTGGTAGAGCACCTGAGTGTGCACAGAGCCCTGGGCTCAGAACCCAGTACTAAAAAAAAAAAAAGAAAATTAAAATGAATAAAGAAAAGAGAGAGTTCCTCTGTGTGGTCCCCAGAGCAGCTCTGACAGGCAGCACAGGTGGTGTCTGCAGACACAGTTGTACCCTCGTCCACAGCCTTGGGAAGAGAGCCTCCTCTCCCAGCAAGTGCAGGCCCCGCGTCCGTGCCCAGCACTGGGGAAAACACTCTAAAAAGAGGGAAAAAGTCAGCCTGGAGGTGAGTCAAGGGCTGCATGCTCCTGGGGTCACCTGTAAGTGCTCCGTAGCCATTTGGGGTTCCTGCACCCAGGGGAAGCCCTGGTCCTGGGTGGAGGCCTCCTGGTGATGTGCAGCCAGAGGCTGGATCTGACCCTGAGGAGGGCAGGACTCCACCAGGGCTTTGTGAGCAGAGGGCAGTGTGGTGAGCACCACTCAGGGAGCTGATCCCCGGGGAAACCAGGCCAGCACGGTTCACCACAAGTCTAGCCATCTCCCCGTCCTTCAGATCACCCAAGGGAGCCCCCCTCAGACCCTCAAGGCTGTGTGACAGCTTTAGGCAGAGTCCTCAGCTCATCTCCAAGCTCCTCGACCTCCTTCTCACCCTGGGGACAGAAACACTCTAAATGGGGGACAGGGCAGCAGGTGTGGTGATGCCTGGGCATGTGGGCATGGGTGGGCACTGATTCCTGCTGGGCCACAGCCCCCTCCAGGCACAGCTGGGGTCCCACCCTGGTGTCAGCACGTAGGAGCCAGGGCTGCCTCCAGACGTGCATGGGACAGCCCCTCAGAACAAGAGAAAGGACACGGCCAACAAGGCCAAGTGGGGGGAACACAGACCAGTTCCCCTCCAGCCTGCCTCCATCTACCCCAGAGGACCACGCACCTGGCTTCCTCTCCTGGCCTCCTCTCCAGGCCTCCTCTCCTGGCCTCCAGCCTCTGGCATCTGGGCTCCACTCCCAGAATCATCTCTATTTATACAGAAATCAGGCCTCACTTCCTGTTACCTGGCCCCGCCCAGTGATGGGTTGATCATTCCAGATTTTCTGCAAGGATCAAAACACATAAATGAGCA